CAGCGTTTACACGACTCGAGCTATATTATTTTTCTAATGCTTTTTAGAGGTTTATCCGGCCGAATTACTCCAACATAGAAGTATCATAATTTTTTTCTAAATTGCAGAAAAGTACCCTTACATATGTATTAGTGCTATAACTCCGTAATATTTTCCAAAAAGAAAATAATTAATTATTCCTATTCAGAGGAAGATAGTATATTTATTTTATAATTTCACATTGGAAAATGGAAACTAATAATCCAACCTTTTAGCGGTCTTCTTTTAATAGTCCCACTTTTTCGTTATTCATGAATAATCCAACCTTTGCACCCCATCTTCATTCATTGGTCCACAACCGGTTGATGACCTGCTATTCCGAGTTATTTTCTTATCTCTGCAAACTATTATACCATAAATTCCACCTTTCACAAAGATAATATTTTCCAAAGATAAGAAAATAACTTGGAATAGTAGGTCATCAACCGGTCAGGGACCATTGAATGAAGATGAGGTGCAAAAGTTGGATTATTCATGAATAACGAAAATGTGGGACTATTAAAAGAAGACCGCTAAAAGGTTGGATTATTAGTTTCCATTTTCCCTTATTATTATTCAAATAAATCCTTTATTTTCTTACCTATAAACTAATTATCCACCTAGCTCAAGGACCGGTAATGTGTCTTTATATGAAGTAGTGCTAGGGAGATATTATCATAAGTTGAAATTAAAGTAATAAATTTATTCATTGCATCATCATAATAATGAAACGGGTGATCATGACCTAATAAACATGCGACAATATAAATATTTTAAGATTGTGTTATCATCATTATGCACCCCTCGAAAGTTCAGCGAGTTTCATAAAAGTAATTTTGAAGAATTTGAACATCATTGTGTTTTTTAAGAATTGGCCATACATTAGAAGATTTCCAGTATTATTACAAAAGTAACGTGTCGAATGAGTAAATTGGTGTAAATTTATTATACATGTGGAAATTGGTGTGACAAATGACGGGCCCGACTCAAAGTTTTAAAAAATGTAAATATACATACGGAGTATGTTAATTGGGGTATACCTTACAGATATTATCCCAAATAGGACTAAAAAGGTTTGAAAATTCCAAAATAGGACTGTCATGTTTTTATTTCCAAATAGGACTAATTACTGTCATGTATTGGCAGTACCAGACTTCAAACATGACAGTATTTTCCAAACTTGACAGTAATTACTCCTATTTTGGGGATAAAAAAACACGTCAGTCCTATTTTGGAATTATCAAACTGTTTTAGTCCTATTTCGGGTGAATTTCCTAAATAGGAGTAAAAACGTTTTGAAATTCCAAAATAGGACTATCATGTTTTTATTCCCTAAATAGGAGTAAATTTCTGCCAAGTTTGGAATTACTAGGCTTTAAACATGGCATTTTTTTCTAAACTTGGCAGATTACTCCTATTTAGGGAATAAAAAACATGATAGTCTTATTTTGGAATTTCAAAACGTTTTTACTCCTATTTGTGACAATTTCTATATAAAATATTGCTATGTTACGGAAAATGATACGAAGTAATACATATGTAAAATTGTTATACAAAATAAAACTCTGTACTAATAATGTATTATCTAGAGATAACGTTATGTAACCCCTAGATAATACATTACTGCTTACTAAGTATTATTATTCAAAATATAATTATGAAGTACTACATTCGTCCCATTGTGTTTGGGACAAGGAGTGACACAACTTTTAAAGAAATGTGGAAGTATGTGGTTAGTATTAAATTGATAAACTATGAATAAAATAAGAATGAATTATAACTATTTAAATATTGTCAAATATAGTACAGGACAAACTTCATGAGATGGAAGAAAAAGATAAAATGGGATAAAATTAGGGGAACATGAGTAATTCTGAACACATATGTCATTGCAAGGGAGAACTATTGCTGCAGGTGTGTCTTACGTTTTGTTTGGAAGGACTTATGTTTAAATAAAAGTACTTTTTGGGAAAAAGTGATTACTGGTAAAAGTTAGTAGTGTTTGGTAAAATAAGTGGTTTTTGTGTAATAGAAAAAGTAAAAAGTAGATTCTACACGAAAAATGAAAAAGTAAAAGCTGATAATGTTTGATAAAATAAGTATTTTTTTCTTAAAAAAAGCCACAAGCACTTCATTTAAGTGTTTGCAAACAAGCCCTTAATACACTTAGACTTCATCACTCCCTTATCATAAGGGTGTCGGTAGATTTTATTACTAAAATATAATGAGGGGACCAGCCAGGACCAAATAAAGTGCTTGCCTGGGACTCGAGTAGTATTCAGAATCAATAAAGAAAAAGAATAAGGAAAACATAGAGTAAGGATGTTTTGGCTTGGACTGTAATTTGCCGGTTTGGTCTGGTCTAATTTGAAGTGATCTGATCTGGTCTGATAATGTCTGGTCTGGTCTGATAATGTCTGGTCTCTTTGTACTTTTATAACTATCCAAGTCTAGTCTGATCTGATCTGGTCTGATCTGGGACAAATTACAATCCAAGTAAAACATCCTAAGAATACATGTTGTTTTATAAAGAGCCGCCACTAGATTTGATGAAAATATGAAATTAGTAAAATTGTTGCGGAAATTGTATTTATTATACTCTCTATGTTATATTAATGAAATAAATAAAAAATTATATGAAAATTAAGAAAATATTCTCAACCATTTTTATCAATTTAATTAGAAAAATAATGTCAACTTTACTTATTTTGATTATTGCACAATTTAGCGTGCACCATCAAAGTTAAATCAGGAGTTACTCAACACGTTTTCAATTAAGATCTTGTTTAGTATTTTGTTGTTACCACTCATAAATTGTAAGCAGTAATTAACTTATGGTACTGGTGGTATGAGCTGATATAGTGAAGAAAAAAAAGAAAAAAAAAGTATGCGTAGTATATAGAAGTATATATTTATCAATTTAATTAGAAAAATAATGTCAACTTTACTTATTTTGATTATTGCACAATTTAGCGTGCACCATCGAAGTTAAATCAGGAGTTACTCAACACGTTTTCAATTAAGATCTTGTTTAGTCTTTTGTTGTTACCACTCATAAATTGTAAGCAGTAATTAACTATGGTGCTGATGGTATGATATAGTGAAGAAAAAAAAGAAAAAAAAGTATGCGTAGTATATAGAAGTATATATTTATATACTTCTATATATACTACGCATACTTTTTAGAAGTATATATTTCATTCTTTGAAATGAAATAACTGATACTAATAAAATACGTAGTAAATATAGAAGTATATTAATTATCTTTGAAATGAAATAAGAGAATATTACCTGAAATAGGACTAAAAAAGTTTGAAAATTTTAAAATAGGACTCCCATGTTTTTATTCCCAAAATAGGACTAATTACTATCATGTTTTGGCAGTACCAGACTTCAAACATGGTAGTATTTTCCAAACTTGGCAGTAATTACTCCTATTTTGGGAATAAAAACCATGACAATCCTAATTTTGAATTTTCAAACTCTTTTAGTCATATTTCGGGAACTTTCCCGTCAAATAACTGATACTAAAGATATTATTTTATTAAGTTAATATACCACGCATTAAACCCTTATACCGAAGTACTTCGTATATTCTACTACGTATTGTTTTTTAATTTATTCATTGACTTTTATACTCTTCCGTACTAATTTGGTTGACCAAAGAAAGACCCACTGGTAGTTATTTGAAAAACATATTCCGTACTATGGTAGTTAATACAAACATTACTCTATTATTCAATTCAACTTAAGATTGATATATCTTCCCATGTGAAAAGTAGGTGAAATTAAGAATAGTGATAGGAGATATAAATTATTGAGGGTATGATGGGAAAATAATGAAATAGTGTGTTGGAATGAAGGATAAATCCAAAAGAAGTAGTTGTAATAGTGTATTATTTTTAAAATTATTGAGGGTATGATGGGAAGATTTTGAAATGGGAAGATATGATTGTTACAACTAAAAAGGAAAGTGGGAAGATATGAGTGTTACGGAGGGAGTATAGCTACTAAGTACTAAACTATGCGTCTGGCAAACTTCTGGTTACTAATGTATGTCCACCTAATTTGAGCACTTCTATATTTTAAATGAGTTTTGTATTTTTATATTGACCAATAGAGTTAAAAGAATTGACATGCTTTTAGAGATCATTGAAGCAAACTAATCTTCTCATCAACGTATGCTCAATCGGTAAAAAATGATCAATTGGTTAGTGGAATTTAATAGTGTTATTCTAGTAGCAACACAATATTTATTAGGGAGATTTTCCAAAATAGGAGTAAATGAAGTTTGGAATAATAAAATAGGATTACTATATTTTTATTTTCAAAATAGGACTAACATATCATGACAGTATTTACTGTCATCTTGTAGGCGTGATTGCCAAATAGTTGTAGTGCATTACATTTAACATAACAAAATTTATTACAATTAATGACAATATTTTTCAATCATGACAATATTTTTCATACATGACAGTAACAACTCCTATTTCGGAAATAAAAACACAGTAGTCCTATTTTGAAATTACAAATTAAACCTCATTTACTTGTGCAATTCCCAATTAATTAATGCTTGAAGCTCATCTGAAAAGCAAGCTAGAGTAGCTCAAGTGTTTATGTATGAGATATATTACTCCGTATATCTTTGTATTTGACTGATGTGGAATGACTTAAAGTGGTTACCTCCGTCCTAATAACATTAGGACATGAGGAGGAAGTGCAAGGTGGTATGGTTTAGTGGTTATTAAGATAAGTGAATTATGTGATTGATATTGAATTGATAAAGCAAGAATATAACAAAGTAAGAATGATATAGAAGTACACAAATTTTATCAAATTCAATTTGTTATGTGAGAATCTTAATTAGACGGATCGAAAATGAAAGATAAGATTATGGCAACGGGATAGAGAGTAATATTTTAACTTTGGGAAAAAAATTAGGGATGATAAAATATGGTGGAGAATGGTAAATTAATTACCTTCCAAATCATGATGCTGATGTCATATTGACCACCCTTATATGATGAAGTTGGAGAGATGGCAGCTCCAATAGCAATTCGGTTATTGGTCTGAACAAAGCCTGAGCATAGCAAATTGTAACACCCAGTCCCTTGATATGCATCACTCTGCACATCAAAATATATGATGTTATAATTGCATAATATTAGTCGTTTTAATTTAATCTGCGTAGTAGTACTAATTCTTTTCAGGCAGGTTCAAAAAAAAACTTCACATTAATTTTTAATATAAAGTTACCCTTATACCTTTATTTTATTACCTATTTTACATTCACTTTCTTTTTTAGGGGTACGATGGGAAAGTCAAAAGCAAAAATTTTATATTTTCTTAAAAACCGTAAAGTCAAAGTGCGACGTTTATTTGGATCCGGATGGAGTATCTACTTTCAAGCATAAATTAAAATGATTTTAAAAAATATCATACCGTCCAGTACGTGAAAAATCTAGAATAGTTGTCCCCGTATAGATCTGGGCTAACCTGCATACAAAAATTATGGGATATGATTCTCAATTTGGATTGTACTTAGGATATGAAAAAAGCTAATACTGGTATCATTTTTTATAATCCGATCCAGCTTTTCAAAAAAAAACTAATTAATTACTCCGTAATAAATATCGTATGACTATATATGTCAAGTAGAGTGCATGCATCTTACACTAAGATCTCGGATCAAATAAGGTTAGACCAAACTAATATTCCGTACTACCTAATGAATTATACAAATTCGACTTGAAGAGACGAGATCATATTAGAATAGACCAAAAAAACACCTAAATGAGTCGTTCATATATTGATTGACCAATGTGAATGCAACAAAACATTAATCACCTTGATGTACCCATTCTTATACCCACCATGTTTGTGAAGGTTTTTTTCTGTGAACTTGGTTCACAGACAATATTTTGTTTGTGCAAAATATTGTTTGTGAATCGGAGTTCATAGACAAAAAAACACCTCACAAACATAGGTGGGTACAAAAGTGGGTATAAGAGTGGGTACAAAGATCATTTTTGAACATTAATATACATGGAAAGATCGATCTATGCACCGGCCATGGTAGGTGAAGCTCAAGACAACTTAGAAAATTTTCAATTATTTTGGGTGTTTTTCATTTTTCACGTTTAGTCTACTCCTCTAATATGTAGGCCTAGTATAATTTATATTCACCCTAGGGCATCTCAGATTCTTGAATCTATCCATGTAAATATATACGGGTGGAGGGTTAACTTAAATTTTCTTAAATAGCAAATTAAACAAGCGAAGCAGTTGATAATTATCTCCTTTTTTTTTGGCAAAAGTTGATAATTACTCCGTATCTTTTAGAAATTTGTTTATATTCTATATTTGGTATTGTATAATCCAATTTTAGATCATACAATGCCCAATATCAAAGCTAACCAAACAAGAATTGTTTTGTTAGATTTGATATCTGGTATTGTGTAATCTAATTTTAGTAAAATCTCAGACAGTATTTGGTGCAAGTAAGCAAATCAAATGAGTAAATTGCCAATATATACGACTAGAAATTAAAGGAGGGAATGAATTGAAGAACTACATGCCTGCCAGCCGGCTTCAATGGTGTTGAGATCATCACCAAATGTACCGGAAATAACCCACACTTGCGACAAGCTGAATTCGTATTGTTTATCCACGCGAGGTTCCCACACATTCATACTTGCTTTTGCTCCATAATAAGCTTCTCCACTTACATATCCAACTGCATGCTGTTCCCCATCCATATTTTATATTATTTCTTTAAACAAATTAAATAAATAAAACTAATGGACATTATTATACACTCCCTCAATTCTGAATGTCAACTTTTCTCCTATAATCCTCTCAAAAAGCTTTTCTATTTTCTTTTTAAACAAAAAATTTATTGTTCATATTATTCTTTTTACTCTGCACAAATGTTAACTATATGAATTTTTACTTTATTACTTTACATGTGACTAAAAACTGCCTAGCACCTATAGGAAGGAAAGAGTATTAATATATTATTATCAATTCTTCCAAAAGCATGAATTCCAAAACGTTGAATCCCCAACCTCAAGGGTCCCTCACGCTCCAACTCGACAAAGTTTTTGGGAGATTATAAGTCGCGGTGACTCAGTGGGTATAATGGTGATAGACTTTGCACCCGTGAGCACCAGAGGTCCAGCCCAACATGCAAGGGTCATAAATTTCACACGGTCGCAGCGGATTTTGACATTTGGTCATTCTTTCAACATTCCCACCACTGAAACATTGCTTCAATTTTCAATTCTAATAAAAACAAAATTTTGACGTACTCATAACAAAAATCGAGAGTTTCTCAAATGAAAACATATTCTTTCTCAGAGCTTGAGTCTTTCGTAGATTATTATAAATCTCAACAGAATCACTTACTTCATGACGGCTGCCGGATGAGGGGTCTTTTCGAACCGTGTTTGTGATTTTTTTCCCGAAGTTCTCGAGGGAAGAAGCTCGGAGAATGTCCCGCTCAGATGTTCGTCTGATCGGGACCGTTCCTGGTGGGCATGATTCCCCAGACAAGCTCCACAGCTGAAAATTCTCGTACCACATCTGGTTTGTCTTGTGGTGCCTGCTTGGCCTTTCTGGCGGATCCAATGGTTTTTGTCCCTTTAACCTCGGATGATCAAACGCTGGTTGTTTGTGAGATTCCACACAATCTATAAAGTCTCCATCTGGACTCTACATCATAAACAATCATTGGATTTCACATTTCTCATTTATATTACAACATTCTGTCTCAATTTCAGTGAATTTTGACATTTGTGGTTTTCAAAATTTAAAAGCACAAGTTTTTGAATGCTCTGATTAATTTAAATTTCCTTATAGCTTATAGCCGTAGACCGTAGTATATTAATCATCTGAAACAGAAGTTCCATTATGATAAATATGATAAATATTTATTATATTTATTATACTCCGAAAAACAAGAACCAAAGAATGGCTGAGATAATATCAGAGGAAATGGAGAATACCTGAAATGTTCTGATGGGGGGTTTATTTAGCTTCTCTAGATGAGCTCGGGTAATTTCCATCTTCTTAGACTCTTCCCCAGGCCAAAATGCTTGGTTAGAATGGTTGAAGTTTTTGAGGTCCAGTCGCCGAGACTGGACCGAAGAAACCGAAAAGACAAGTGGAAAGAAGAACAGAATAGAAACTGTTGTAGACAATGAAATATTGGGGTTGAAAAACTGGAAATCCATTCTTTGGTCTGAATTATCATAAGCAATGTGGCCTAGTTTACTATTTCTTGGCTTCTTTTTTCACTCTAAATCTGTGCATTCTGTAGGAAGCTGTCTTTTCTCACAAACCCAGAAAAAAGCAGCACAATGGAAGCTGAGCAAAACTCTCTCACAAAGCCCACACTTAATTATCAGCCTAGCACCATTCCCAATGATTAGCTTAGATTCCTTTAAGCACACCAATAAAGCAAAAATGGAATATTTCAGAGCTTCTATAACCTTGAGATATGGGGCTTTTCACCAGCTCTGAGCAACTCAACTGGAGAGCAAGTGCTTTTCTTCTTGCTTTTTGGAAACACAGACAGAAGTAGCAGCCAGGAAGGAATATAGGATTGAGTATTGTTGGGGTTTTCTATAAAGAGTAAGAATCGCGTGGAAATGGATGAAAAAATACAGTTACAGGCCTGGCGTGTGTAGAAGTAGTGTTTTTTGATCAATTGGTCCAGAGTCTTATTGCACAAGTTTATAAGGAGCAGTAAGGAGTAGTACTGATTACTGAATACTGTTTAGTTTCAACTTTCAAAAGAAACAGAGTCGGTCTCACCGGACTTGAGGGCCCACTGTCTAGTCATTGTGTTGCTTTGACTCAGTTGACGAGTGTTCCGGCTCTTAGCCTCGTCACCTAATTAAAGTGTTCCACTGTTCCTCTATGAAATACTCAGTACTCCGTATTATTTTTGGTGCCTTCGTATTATACCTAGTGAATGGTTTTTGTGCCTTTATCTTTCACTTTTTTTTTTCTTTCTTTTTCTTTTTTTTAACCGGTGGGCATCTACAATGGTTCTCTTTGAGGACTTGTTTGCAATTTTAAAGATAGTAATTTATGATTGAAGTATTTTTTTCTTTTACTTGAGAAATCTAATTAGTCTAAATGAGCTACTAGCTTGAGTAAGTAGAATTATTAAATATAGCGTTATAAAAAATAAATGAAGAGGAAAAAATTACAGGTAATCATTGGAGTACATTTCAATTTTGCTACAAATGCTTATGTGGCTACTCAAACAATGAGGGCAACTAGCTAACCGCGGCAGGTGCTCTTAGTGAATAATGGATAAGAAGGTTAATTGTTATATTCTTTGTTGCTCTTAGTATGAGCATTGTGGAAATAAATTATTGTGTGTGGGGGGCATTTGATACTACAATTTAGGGCAAGCCGGTTCCGATTTACCTAAATGGTTTTATGTCAATTTCCAGACAGTCTGGTCTTAACAAAAACATGATTAATGTATATATAACAAAAACATGTTTAATAAATATCTATATTAAACACCCAAAAACGGACCGACATATATACATTAATCATGTTTTTGTTAAGACCAAATTGTCTGGAAATTGGCACAACCATTTAGGTAAATCGAAATCGATTTGCCCTAAATTGTAGTATCAAACTCCCCCACACATACAATAATTTATTACCACAATGCTCATACTAAGAGCAACAAAGAATCTAAGAATTAACCTTCTTATCCATTATTCACTAACAGCATCTGCCGCGGTTAGCTAATTGCTTTCATTGTTTGAGTAGCCACATAAACATTTGTAGCAAAATTGAAATGTACTGCAATGATTAACTGTAATTTTTTCCTCTTCATTTATTTTTTATAACGCTATATTTAATAATTCTACTTACTCAACCTAGTAGCTCATTTCGGCTAATTAGATTTCTCAAGTAAAAGAAATACTTCAATGATAAATTACTAGCTTTAAAATTGCAAGCAAGTCCTCAAAGAGAACCATTGTAGATGCTCCAACGAGAGCAAGTTTTCCAATCACCCTTCCATTTACAATTTTTTTGATTATTAATAAACGTGAATGCTTATACATGGTTCATTTTTGAAAAAGAATCTATTTACTCTTTAGACTATTAATCACAATGTCAAGGGTCACAATCTCTACCATATTTAATTGTAAATCTTACTTTGTATATCACTATTAGGATATTTTAATTGGAGTGAAATTTTTTGATCTAGTCTTGTCTGGTATGATAGATATATGTTTTATGTGTATTTTACAACTATCGAAGTCTGATCTAATTTATTCTAGTCTATGACTGAAACTAATCCAACTAAAAACATCCAAAGAATCAGAAATAACATTTAAAAGAGCAATGTGCGTGGATATGATTATCAATATGTATATTAGTGCAACTTAATATCGGAAATTAATTTGGTAAAAACATTTAAATTATCATTAATGTGCATAAGTATATCAAACCTAAATTTAAATTAAAAGTGAAAATATGTAGTTGGGAAAAGAGTTTGAGTATAAAGTTTATCTAATGGAGTACTATCGTATATTTCAAAGCGTTTTAGAAGAATCCAAAACTCCAAGATTTGTACTTCAAGCTCAAATAAATTGTGGTGCATATATGTTTTACTAAATGCCCTAAATGATACTCCGTAGGTTCTAACAACGGTTGTGTGTTGTTTCACAAAGGGACAAGTTAATTGTAGTGCAATATTCTTGTTAGGGTATTCACTAAATTTGCTTTTTTTTCCGTCTGAAATGCCATTATCAAAGAGGAAGCGGTCCAGCCCAGCTAGTCACTGACACACTCTCCCTTACGAGAGGTCTCGGGTTCGAAACTAAATGGAGTGAGTTTCAGCCCTGATTAATTCAGGCCCCCAGGAGTAAAAAAATTGAATTAAGATGCCGTTTGGTAACACTATTTTTCAGCTTATCAGGCTTATCAGCTAACTTTTTCACCAAACACATAACTTTTGTTTTCGCGCGTTGAATTGTTTAATAATAAGAAAAAGTAAGGTTGGAGTCACTTTTCTGGCTATATTGGCTGAAGTTACTGTAGATGACCATTTTAATTATTTTTACATATAATTTTTTCTTTATTTTATTAATTTTTTTTAAATCAGCAGAACTATCCAATGCAGCCACTTCAGTCAGAACTTCAGAAATTTCAGCAGAATCAGCCGATTTTCTTGTTACCGAACGGACTCCAAGTTTGTTAAGGTAAAAAAAACTGCCGATGTTTGTGTTGAATCAGAATCTTATTGGCAACAAGATCCAAGGCTGATTAAAGGGTCTATTTGCTTCCATATCAAATAGACTGAGGAAAGGCATGCATGAAGATCAAAGTTTGAGGATGCGCCGATTTGGTGAAAATGATTAGATGTGTTTGCAGTCTCCAATACGAAGCCTGGAACTTTATCTTTTTTCTTTTCAAAAAGTGATAAAGAGCATTATATAGACAATAGACTATACAGTGTTTAAAATGTGAGCTAACAATGTGACGCGATCAAATCTTGAACCAAGTTTAAATGAGATTAGGCGGAGCCTCAAGCCTAAAAAGCATATATGGATTATGGAGTAGTACTTTCCTATGTTTAAAAAACGGACCCGACCGACCCGGACAAAAACCCGGTTCGGTTTGTTCAAAACCCGGAAATTGTCAAAAACTGGAAAAACCTGGCTGACCCGGGAAAATCCGGCCCAGACCCGGACACAAAAAAACCCAAAAAACCTGGGAAAACCAGTTTTGGGTGTTTTTTCCAAAAGAAAAAGTAATTTCTTTTTTAATTTTAATCCATTTCTAAACCAATAAAATTGCACTTTCAATACCCTAAAAAGAAAAACTATGTAATATATTTGTATATTTATTTAAGAATGAAAATCATGCCAAATTATAATCTAAATGTACTATACAAATAAAAATATCAATATATACTTTATAGGATCAAAATTACACTTTGAAATATTAAGAGATTGTATTAAATGCTTAATGAGTAGTATTGTTAGTTGATTATTATGAATCATAACTACTTTTTATTATAATTTTGTATGTAATTATGTGTTTATTATTATATAGATGTATAATCGTTGACCGGGTTGACCCACCAAGTCTGGGTTGACCCGTGACCCAGTCATGTGGCTGGATCGCTCCCCGGTCCGGTTTTTTAAACATATCAACTTTCATCCCTCAACACTTTGCCACCTTTAACTTTTCAAGTCAATATTAATAAAATTTAGACAATAATTTTCATTAGTATAATATTTAAGAAATTATAAATTTATACTTTTATGAAAGCACTTTTAACAAAGAATATTTTAAAATCATTTTTATGTTATACTTCCTTCGTCCCAGAAACAAGTTCGTAGATGAATTTTACACATATTAAGGAAATTAATTTACTAGGGGTAAAGTTTACTGTGTCAACACTGTTTCGACACTATTTGAACATTGTTTAACACTGTTTTGAGCCAAATCAGGAAATGTAAGGAAGTGAGAACTTAATTTAGGGACTGTCCAAAAAGAAAATGTGAAACTTGTTTCCGGGACGGAGGGAATAATAACTTTCTAAAAATATACTACCTCCGTCCGTTGGAAGATTCTCATAGCAAAACGACACAGTTATTTAGGTGATAATTAAATAAAGTACTTCGAGTATATTTTGAGAAATAATTTTAACATGTATATATTATAATGTAGTTAGTTTGGATAATTGTGATGTTAAAAATGTGTTATTTTTAATATTTAATGATTAATTTGTCACTTAAGATTTTTAATTGTTTCCTAAAATGGAAAGTAAGAACCTTCTAACGGGATGGAGGGAGTATATAATTGATCAAAGTTAAACTTGTTTGACCAAAAACTTCAAAGATGACAAAGTTTTAAAAGATGGAAGTACTATTTTGTTATTTTAATCCAATCATTTAATCATTTAATTGTAGTGACCAGTCACAAGATGATTGAATTCTTACTTTTTAATACATTTATACTCTTGTAGTTTTCAAACGTAAGGAAAATTAAAAGCACAATACAAAATATCGTTAGCTTACCACTCAGTATACTACTAGCAATTGGGCTTGGGGTACACACAACTTATACACACACCTACACACTATAAATAGGCCCAAAAATTACCATTTTTTTACCCCTCTCCCTCCCTTACACGCAAATACAACCCACCCTCTCTTCCCCCACTCCCTCCCGTGTCGTCCTTTCTTGTACCCACAACACACCTCAACGCATAACAAGCTTCAAAATCAATGGAATCAATAGATTTTGGTAGCTGAAGTTGAGGGAGAACCAGCGGTGGCGGCTGAAGTTGACGGAGAACCGGCAGTGGCGGCTGAAGTTGAGGAAGAACCGGCAGCGGCGGCTGAACGTGACGGAGAACCGGCGGCGGCGGCCATGGACGACGTCCCTGAACTTGGCGGCGGCCATGGACGACGTCCCTGAACTTGGCGGCGGCCATGGACGACGTAACAGCACAAACAAGATTTTTCTTCTTCACAGACAACTACGACACAAATCACAGACAAAGTCATATAACAGCACAAACAATATTTTTCTTCTTCACAGACGCACAATAGACAGTGGATTACATATAATAGTAGTTTTTAAACAACTAGTTAATTTTTAAGATTAAACTAATAATCTGTAAACTTATTGAACACCTCAAAATTACACATGGGCTCTAGTGGTAATCAAAGTAATAATAGTTTTAGTTATTAATTACATAAAGTAGTTATTAAAAATATTTTAAGAGGATGTAAGAGCGGACAACAACACAAACAAGATTTTTCTTCTTCACAGACAACTACGACATAGATCACAGACAAAGTCGTATAAAAGCACAAACAAGATTTTTCTTCTTCACAAGCAAAGGCATCCCCCATATATATTAACACCATAATCAGTAAGTGTGTGCCACAAAAACAAAAAGGTATACCAATTCAGGTAATATTTGGGAGTACATTCTAGGACATTGTACAACACTCTTACTATAACATTGTACAACCTCCTACATCGACGTTGGTTCTATAAAAACTCCGGATGTTGGCAACCTAACATCTATCCCACAACCGAGAAGTCGTGTGCAAGGTGAGATACATAGCATAGACAAATACAACACAAATGACAGACAAAATGGTATTACACCATACGTAAATTTCTTCTTCTTCACAGACGCGCAATAGACAATGGATTACATATACTAGTAGTTTTTAAACAATTACGGAGTAGTTACTAAAATAAATAAACAATTAAAGTTTTTTAGATTAAACTAATAATCTGTAAACTTATTGATCACCTCAAAATTACACATGGTCTCCAGTGGTAATCAAAGTAATAAAAGTTTTAGGTATTAAATTACATAAAGTAGTTATTAAAAATATTTTAAGTGGATGTAAGAGCGGATACATAGCACAGACAACTACGACACAAATCACAGACAAAGTCGTATTACAGCATGATGGATAGTCTACCCGGGGGTATCTTATCCGAGGGGTTATTGCGGGAATAACTTAGAGAGAAGTCAGAGTAAATAGGAGGAGAGAGAGTCGATTTTATTAAATGAACTCGAGATATGGAGTTAGGATGTCGATCGTGATTTACAAGGAGAAATGGGCTGCTATTTATAGCAGCAATAAATGCGATGAGAGGACACGTGTCAGTAATCCAATGGCCGAAGAGTCACATCAGCCGGTTGGCACCGGCAGTAGCACGTCCACCGCATTGATTGCGGTTGGCGGATGTGACGTGGCATTAAATGCGGTGGTTGGCTGTCTCTAAAAGGAATCTTTGATGATTGAACATGTTTGGCCGAAGGCTCCTTGTGTAGCCGAGGGCTCCATGTAACCGAGGGTTCCATGTGGCAAGGACCCTTGTGTGGCCGAAGGCCCCATGTGACCGAAGGCTTGGTTCAGCCGAAGGCTTCTCTGATGCCGAGGGCATGACAATGCCGAAGGCTCACGTTTTTCGCCGTTTTTTCCCAGTAGCTTCTTATGTCAGAGAAGACTGTCCTGTGAGTTTTGGAGCCTTCGGCCAAGGAGGCCGAAGGCATCCCAGTGTGTATTCTGAGCTACTTTGAGGCTTGGGCCGTTGTATTTGGGCCTGAGTTGTTTCCTGGGCTCAATGGACTTGTGTAGGAGAAGTAGGAGTCTATGGGCCGGGGGTTCCTGGACCATATACTCCATCAGGAGTCCCTCACTCCTTTTGCCGAAAGGTACTTGAGGGAAAAGGAGTAGTTGTTTTGATTCTTCCGGAGGCTTCATCGTTTCGCTGGGTGCCTTTGCTGGAGAACTTGCCTTCTGCTGAATGCCGAAGGCTTCCCTCAGTCCCCCACATGTCGAGGGTTTTTTGAGGGAGGTATGACACCTGTATGACTGCCGAAGGCTTTCCTCAGTCCCTCACATGTCGAGGGTTTTTCTGAGGAAAGCATAGGTGTATTGCCTGCATGTGTTGTGATGAGGGCTGCTTCATTTCCGCAAGTGACTCGGGGAAAACTTGTGAGGAAATCATAGGTGTTCGCCCGGAGGCTATATGCGTTACTTGCAGATTTCCGCTTGAGGGAATTTTGCATCTTGTTCTGTTGTGGTGCCCGAGGGGTGTATCCTAGTCCCCCACTCCTTTAGGCCGAAGGCAAGTTCGGGCTGAAGGAGTTATGATGTGTTGATGCAAACCCGAGGGGTGACAATATTGTCAAGCCGGGGGCTTACGCTGCCGCAAGCTCGAAGGCGTTTGGTGGAATCCGTTATCTGAGGGCTGTGGAGGGCGATAGTCGGAGGCTATCATTCGAGGGCACTCCATTGTTTCCGAAATATAGCCGTTGTGATATAGCCGTTGGAAGAGGGGTTGACGTGGCGTGTCCTCGTTGGTCGAAGGTGGGCGGTCACCACCCATTGGGTGATGAGGCGGCCCGTAATGATGGTTTTTCTAATCGAGGCCCAGTTCTCGAGGCCCAGTTGCCTATAAATACCCCAAGCCCGAGTTCATATCCCTTGTGCGTTTTAGAATCGAAGCGAAGCTCTGCCAAAATTTCTAGAGAGAGAAAGCCTTCTCATCGATCAAACTTAAGTTTTCCTTCCGCCCCAAGGTCAGTTCTTCGCCTGTTCTTGAGTTCCTTAGTAGATTTTGCTCTTTCCTTCTTTGATTAAGTGTTTAAGAAATCCTTAGGGCTCTCAGTTAGGACCTCTTCTTAGCACATTACTATGTCTTCTGCAAGCGATTCCCAAAACCTCTCGAGGGAGTCTTCGGTTGTAGCGGAGAGCATCTCCGGTACGGAGTCATCAAGCGAGAGGTCTCCGACCAATAATGATCTTGCCGTGGCTGAGGCGGTGCAAAGTAACCTTCGGGTTGAGCTGGAGGCTGAAGAATTTGAACAAGTTGCTACCGACGAAGAAATGGCCCTCGCACTCCAAGTAGCTGAGGAAGAAGAGGAGCGGGAGCGACAGGAGGTGACGGTAGCCGCCTTGCCCCTTCGTGGTTCCGGGGAGACGAGTACCTCCCGAACTTTAGATCCAGAGCCTCTGAGCGTAGCCCCTGGTAAAAAGAGGAAGAAGAAGACGAAGGTTTCTCAGAAGAAGAAGCAACCTGCCGCAGATTGTGGGAAGCCTGTGGGGATCCCCGAGGGACACTCTTGGTTGAATACAGCCGCCCTCGCGCTTAGGTCGAGGGCTGACCGGGCAGAGTGCTACGTTACTCAGCTCCATGTGGGTCCGTCGGCCATTGTTATAGAACCGGGGCCCAACGATATCTTATCTCGGGCTCCCGAAGGATGTTTTGCCGTCCATGTGCTGTCGGTGGCCATGGGAGTACATTCTTGGACATTGTACAACATTGTTAGGGTAACATTGTACAACCTCCTACATTTAACAACCAAACCCATGGTGGCAAAAAATGAGCACCAAAAAAATGTACTCCATAGTAAGGTTACATCAATGTTTTACAACCAAACTCATCCTACACTAAACATGTAGACCCAAAGTAGTCTGAGTGGATCTTCCTCAAAGTCCAGAGCCTCATTGCAAATGCACATCTTTTCGCTGCCATGTTTTCATATTACACTCGGGCTGCAATTACAAGTTCTGCATCAATGACTCGGCAAAGGCCATAACCGTCACGTCACAAACACCGGATCTGGACATAAAAGAATTCATACAAACATTACATTTACATTATTTTTGTGTACAGACAAACATCATATCCACAGAACATGAATATCCACAAACACTATGTACAGACAAACATTATATACTGCCTCCGCTCTCCAAGTGCCCTGTGATTGTAATAAAATAAATCATAAGGGCACAGACATATGTTAAGTCACACAGACAAGCATTCGACTAGATACAGACAAAGAACCAAGTCACACAGACATATGTATGGAAACTTATGTTTAACTTTTATTATTACAGGGGCTGTCATTTCTATTTTTGTCATTACAGGCCTACAAGGGGCGAGTTTTGCAAACATGAACAACTCAATTGGGCACAAAAATGTTGTTTACCACAAAAGCAGAAAACATATAAAATATAATGTGAGAATTTTAAAACTTTATTTGTCATAATTTCATAAGTCATAACTTCATAAGCCATACTTTAAGAAACATACTTCAAAGTATTACAAAGTAACATACACTCAATGTGAGAATTTCATTTTTAATAGAACTACAAATAACTTTATAAATTTAATAGTAATAAAAGAAGTCAATTCATTGTGTTTTAATTATGCAACTAAGTTGATTATTTTTTATTTTCAAAACATTCTTTCAACATTCCGCGTGATTTTAAGGTACCCGAAGTCCAAATTAACCAAGATATTTTAGAGAAGTGAACCACAATTGAACAACACATTGGAAAATTCATTACTTTTCAAAAGTCCTAGACATTTTTTCATTTGGACCTATTTTAGTAGAGTCACACAGACAATCATATTACTCACACAGACATATGCAGAGTCATACAGACAATCATATAAGTCTCCACAGACAAATGGAGCCACAACCAATTACATATACTCACACAGACAAATAACTAGACAAATTTATCTTCACACAAACATACATAAGTCCTTCAAAATGCATAAAATTAACCTTACACAGACAATACATAGAAAGTAATGACATATCCCCAAACAAATGTATATTGTTCAAAATCCAAGCACCAGATGGGTTCCAAAACTTCATAAACAAAAATATTTTCTGAACCCTCCAAATAAACATCATCAACTGCCTAAAATTGTAAAAAAAATCCAAAGATAGAGGATACATACCTTTCGGCCATGGAAGAAAGCGGGGTTCACACCATTTTTCGATTGAGACAAAATAAACGGCTTCGGTGGGGGGGGGGGGGGGGGGTTCGCACCTTGGAATGCGCAACGATGATGGCCGCCTTCGACGGAGGTTGGCGGGGAGGAGGTTGCCTTCGACGGGGGGTTGCCGGGGACGAGGGTTGGCTTCGTCGGGTGTTGGCGGCGACGAACAGCTTCCAGCTTCCATCTTCTTTCAAAGCAAAATTGATCGGAGGAAGAAGGGGAAGGCTGTGGCGGTTCGAAGGAAGGGAGAAGGTGGGGATGTGCGGAAATTTTGGGAGGCAAAGTGTCAAACGTGTGAAATTGGAAGAGGTTAGGGAAAGGGGGTAAATTATTTTTAGGGGTATTTATAGTGTGTATGTGTGTGTAGAGAAAGTGTGTAACAATAGAAAAATTGTACTACTAGTCAACCGATTTTGTGTATTGTACGAAAAACAAAATAAATGAAATTTCTCCATGAAATAACTTATAATGTGTATGATTTTTTTTTGGGATAAGGGTCAGATAGGGCCTCGAACTTGAAAAAAAATGTCAAATAAGGTCATATTTAGGATGCTCTGTCCGGCCGACGCCATTTGGGGTGCTTCCCGGTGGAATTTGTTGATGAATTTTTTTGAGAATCTTATTCATTAAGTCTAGTTTACTCATATTAAATTTGAACTAACAATTCAATCGGGAAGGCATTCAAATGAATTCATGAAGATAACTGCGCTTTTAACGGCACAGTTATCTTCAAGAATTCATTTGAATGCCTTCCCGATTAAAGTTTTAGTTCAAATTTGATATGAGTAAACTAGACTTAATGAATAAGATTCTCAAAAAAAATCATCAAAATATTCCACCGGGAACCACCCCAAATGGTGTCGGCCGGAAAGAGCATCCTAAATATGGCCTTATTTGACATTTTTTTTCAAGTTCGAGACCCTATCTGACCCTTATCCCATTTTTTTTATATACATAAAAATTGAGTGTACAAGATTGCGTGTACTATTTACACACAAGCACCCTTCAATTCAATCTTTGATTTTTTATTCCGACTTCATTTACGATTAATATTTTCATGATATTTATACTATTTAATGGTAATTTTAATGACTGTTATATGGAGTACCAAGCATATGTCATTAACTCATATATAATTTTAATGACTGTTTTAATGACTAGTATACAAAATTGTACATTTGTACATTAAGGACGTTTTTACTTGGATTGTAATTTGCTGGTTTGGTCTGGTCTGATCTGGTCTGGTCTCTTTGTATTTTTATAACTATCCAAGTCTGGTCTGATCTGATCTGGTCTGGTCTGGTCTGATCTAGTCTGGTCTGATCTGGTCTGGTCTGATCTGGGACAAATTACAATCCAAGTAAAAAGATCCTAACTCATCTATACTTAGAGATTTTACCGAGTACCAAGCATATGTCTTCGATATTTTAATAGCATAAAATGTATATGTGTGCGCGTGTGTATATTGTGCATCATATTGACACTTTAAACGGCTGAGATTAATTCTTATTTTACACGTTAAAATGTCTTCTCATTTGAACTCCCCCCCCCCTCTCTCTCTCTCTCTCTCTCTCTCTATATATATATATATATATATATATATATATATATATATATATATATATATATATATATATATATAGGTGAGATCACATTCAAACTAGTCCTCCTATGCAAACCAACAAACTAATCTCATCCATCTATTATTTATAAATGGAGAGCCGTGATATGCAAGGCCTACTGTTTGTCTGTGTGGTGAGATGCATGAAATAAAATAACCCAAAACCCACTAGCATGAAACGGTTATTGGGAAGGTCACATGTGTAAATTCAATTTAAACTAATCATGTCGTAAATCTAAAATTGGGAATAGAATAATGACTAAATCCTACCATTTATGAACTTTCCACTAACTTTCCACTAATATATTAACCAGCCAATTATATGAAAAATATGAAAATGCATACGATTATGTGCATGTAATATTTTCTTCAAATCCAAATTTCAGCTACATATCTACATTTCGTAATCAGATTATGCGCATAAATATTCTCCATGCATGGAATCCCTTTTTTGCATTCGCGAATTGCAAAATAACTTTCCCATTTTAATTAATAATTAATTGTAATAAATTCATAAACAAATAATTTGATTTTCAGAATTAATCACTTCCTAATTAACCTGTCATTTTTAGCATTGCATATTAAGGTTATGGAATGTGCATAATATATTAATAGTGAGTGCATAGTTTATATTAGAACTTCTATCATATTAAGTTTGTCAGAAATGATGCATATTAGAGTAGAAATTCATGCATATATATTAAGGTTGTCCGATATGCATATAAACGTAAATGGATGTGCATATTAATGTTAGATGATGTGCATTATATATTTATAATATTTCCATAACTTATATTAGAACTGTGTAGTGATAAATATGTCGATCTTGCATTTAGGTAGTTTATTATATGTTGCATTTAATCATTATAACATGTGCATTTAGAAGTTCGTATATTGCATGTCAATATGATGATACGTGTATTTTACAAGTTCATATTGCACCTTATCGCTATGTGCACTTTTATCATTGGGACATGTGTATTTTGAATTGAAGTTCATATATTGCATTTTAGTAAGATGATATATGCACTTTAGAAGTTCACACTGCATCTTATCGTTATGGCATCTGCATTGTATACTCAACAAACATGCATACTAAATTTATGAGGTCACAAAATGCATAGTGTTTCTAGTACATTAAGACAGAAAATTTGAAGGGGGAAATAATTAAAATACCCCAAACTATGAAGGGGTGTGAGGTAAGCACCCCAAACTTGCATATGTAATTTAAATACCCTAAACTTTATATAAAATGTTATTTTAACACCATGGTCATGTATCCTTTCTTTCAAAAATCGAAATTTATAATGTTAATTGCATAATTTAAACTATCAAATTGAAAACTTTGCAATTATATAGAGTGCCGGTTAATACTATTTATTTTACAATGGAAGTTTAGAATGTTAATTGTATTTTCATGAATGTTAAAATATTTTAAATTATGAAATTAGCACCAAGAATTGACATTTAAGAAAAAAATACATGACTAAGGTACTAAAATAACTATTTATATAAAGTTTGGGGTATTTAAATTACATATGCAAGTTTGGGGTGCTTACCTCACATCTCTTCAAAGTTTGGGGTATTTCAATTATTTTCCCCAAATTTGAAACATTTTTTTTTTGCATAAATATGAAATTGATGAACTTCTTGAAAACATAAATCAAAACGTTAAATATGATAAATCTCATAGTAGAAAACAATGTTCTTTTCTGGTGTGCATACTAGATTCAAATCCAAAAGAGACAATTCCCTAAATAGGAGTAAAAACATTTTGAAATTCCAAAATAAGAGTATCATGTTTTTTATTCCCTAAATAAGAGTAAATTTCTGCCATGTATGGCATTACAAGGCTTTAAACATGACATTTTTTCCCAAACTTGGCAGATTACTCCTATTCAGGGAATAAAAAAACATGATACTCCTATTTTGGAATTTCAAAACGTTTTTACTCCTATTTTGGGCAATTTCTGAATCCAAAATGTCAAAATCTGTTAAATCTTGTAAAGAATTAAAAAAAATCCGACAGACAAGATTTCATTGGAGAGAAGATGGGGATGAAGTTATAACCAAAACAATGAAGAGTTACTTATGTTCCAAGAAGCTCTCTATTAATGGTGACTATGGAGATGGAGAAAGAGATGAAGATGGAGATGAAAAACGGAGATGAAGAGAAGCTTTGAATAATCCTAGAGAAAGAGCTTGTTGATGGTGAACGTGATAGGAGAGAAGGAAGTATCGATGCAGGAAGTTATGGAAAGCTAGGGTATGGTGATTTTATTTCCAAAAATAAAAACAAACAAAAAAGACTACTTAACCCTTCAGTTAAATGATCAACCGTGTGGTAATTTAATTAAGATGGAGGGCATATTGTCTCTTGGATAACCGGTACACTTAAATTTTAATAAAATAGCAATTAATTATTTATAAATAATAAATTGTTTCTTAATTGAGAATTCATTATGTACAATAATTTATAAATATGCCAAGTCAAAAGTCGAAGTTCTCTATGAAATACTTCACATATCCTTTAATTCAGTGATATTATATAGTGTATCAAGTATGAACATAAGGATAAATTGAAAGAGATAATTTGAGTTTGCTCTCCATTTTATTGTCCAAATTAGACTTTGCATCCCGATTTGAAAAACTTTGTATTGTACCCCCAACCCGGTATGAAAATACAAAAATGCCCCTTCATTAACAATTTTGTTGACCTTCAACATATTCATGATCGATTGACATTTTTGTATATTCTTAAGGAGTTAGGGTGCAAATACAAAGTTTTTTAAAAATGGGGTGCAAAGTCTAATTTGGACAATAAAATGGGGTGCAAATACACACGTTAGAAGAATGCTCACAAAATTTCATCAAAAACTTCTACCAGAAGGCGGAGTTGTCCAGAAATTCACACACGAATACTACTATATCCCCCCCACCCCCTACAAAAAAGAGTAAAGGAATACTATTACTCCCTCCGTCCCAGAATTAACTTCGGTTTTGACTGGGCACGGAGATTAAGAAAGTGGGAAATGTGTGGTTGAGAGTTGTGAAGAGGAGAGAGAAATGTGTAAGAATAGTTGTGAACCACAAATCCTTTGCTAAAAAAGGAAAGAGGAGATAAATTTGGGACGGACCAAAAAGGAAAGAATGAAGATAATTATGGGACGGAGGGAGTACTACATATATGTGTGTGTATACAAAAGATAAAATGATTAAAAAAACATGAAAAAGAAAAAGAAAACAAAGGGAAAATGGCAAGAATTTATTCCCATACTTGTAGAAGTACATCACACACAAATGATGTCTCTACAAAACCCGCCGTACCATGGTATTGCCAGACAATGCCATCATTTCATTTAATTTATTCAAGACAATACACTGAAATTAAAGTATTCTACTCCGTACTATTCTGCCCCACTCTCAACGATTTCAACCAAAACTTACAATCAAATGTTTGAAAAATATAGCAACACAACCAACTCTTTCAAATTTATATGACTTGCAGTTTTAGTATTAGTTGTATAAGAATTTGTTTGTTTGTTTCTTTACAAACAATATTAGTGGATTAACTTTTCTTCTCGCATGCATGCAGCCCACATTAACAACCTTAAATGATGCCTGCATACTGCAATCCCATATGTTTCAGCACACTGGCAAGTGGAGATCACATCTGAGGTCTTGTCTGAACAACAAACACA